TTCTTCCGTCATTGACCAGCAGTTATTCTAAATAGGAGGAATGTTTGTTTTCTTCTCATGTTTCGTTCTCTCTCATTAGCTTGTAATTTTTTCTGGTTACTGATTAAGAATCGTGATAGATATCTTTGATTTGTTGATTCATTTATCAAGGTTGTATCGAGAGTCGTGGAAAACTTCATAAAGTGACTTTCAAGAAAAAAAAAACAGACATCACCGAAGTCTAGATTTAATGAAAACATCTAAATCAATTGTTATGTTAACATGAATAATACATCAATAGAATCTATCGTACATCAAGAACGAAATTAAGGGGATTGCTTCATTGCACAAAATGAAAATACAATATTGAACTGAAAATACAGGAGCAATATTCATTTTATCAAGAAGAATGGAAGTGAGTGGTGTGCCAAAATCATATTCACGAAATAACACAGAATTCTTGATGAAAAATCACATTTTCTCACTCTATTTTACCTACCTACGTCAGAAAACATAGGTAGGAAAACGAAATACGGCAAACATCAAAATGATAAGTAGCATCAAAATTATCATCACTTATAATATCCCAATTTTGAAATGATTTGTTGCATACTTCCGAGAGCGAATTGCTTGGAAACAGCCCTACGCCGAAAGAGTGCAACTATCAATAGTCGAGGGATATTCAGTGAGAATAATTTTTCATAGAATTGGAATCGATTCATTTTGGATATTTCCATTTACTCGAAGTTCATCAAGTTATTAACGTCAAACTATGTCATTACCATGGTGACTTAATTTTTCAACAGTGACAAATTACTGGGGCACTTATCAGTTGAATGTTTGTCTGATCGGCTAATAATGGTCACTGGTCACTTGGTCACAAATACATAGATATGATAGGTTCAAATTACATGAAAAAAGAGATTCTATCAAATGGAATAAATATCAGTTAGAATACCTCATGGATAATAATTTATAGGTTAGATTATGATGTCATGAATAGTATTGTTAAACATATCGTTCGATAACGCACTTTTCAGTTTGAAGTTTTTTCCCATTAGAATATTGAGATTGCCCCAATGGGTATATTATTATGTTCGTTGATTCTACGTTTATTCCACGTTGGGTGGATGAAAAATACGTTACTTTGAATTTTCAACTTTGTCAATGTTCATGACAATAAAGTTATGTGAATACGTTTCAATAACATTTACTCAACGTAGACCAATTTATGTTTCAACTTTGATATATTTTTTCAATTGATAAAACGTTATTCCCCGCGAAATTTCAACTGATGTTTGCCGGTTGGTTACTCAGGCGATCTCAACGTTTTTCCAATATACAGGTTGTCTGTAAAAGGTTGAAACATGGCTCGGCTGTGGACTTCTGGGATAAAAACAAGTTTATTCAAGCCATCAACTTACCTATATCCAAAATCGTCTCGTTGAGTTGGTATGAGGCGTAGAAGTTTTTCTTGGAAAAAAATAATTTTGCTTATCAAAAGAGTACGCTGGGATCGATTTTCATAATTTTTGGCATGGCATGTTCTGTGACTGTAAGTCACGTTTTGAGATGTTTTTGATCATCATCAGTGACCTGCAAGTGTTTCAAATAACCATTTTGCGTACAAATTTGTTGATGACTTTGCAGAGGTCAGGTTAGGTTCTTTCCAGAAAGATATTCTCTACAGTAATATTTTTTGTATCATGTTGATTTTTGATAAGTCTCGAGGTTCATTTGCAAATAAATAATTCCTGATCTGAGGCATCTTATGCATTTTTTAGATAAATAATCTGGTTGGGACATGGCTTGACTGTAGACTCCTGGGATAAAAATAGTTGATTTCAGAAAACTTACATATATCCCGAATCGTTTCGTATGGTTGGTAAAAGTCGTTAAAGTCCTCACCTTAGGTCCTGAATAATTATCAATAAATCTGTAATGCGAGAGTTCTTGTGAAATCCGCGAGGTCCAGCAATATATCAGTTTGCTCACAATAAGAATACATTGTAATCATGATCAATAAACGTCTGACTAATGAGATTAATTTCCAAAAATGCGCAGGATGCATCAGAGCAGAAATTATTTGTCTGCAAATGAACCTCGAGACTTATCAGAAATAACACGATACAAAAAATATTTGTGGAGGGAATCTTTCTGGAAAAAAAAAACTGGAAGTTTCCAGTCTGACCTCTGAAAATTTATCACCAAATTTGTACGGCAACATGGTTGTTTGAAACACTTGCAGGTCACTGATGATGATTAAAAATATCTCGAAACGTGACTTACAGTGACAGAACATGCCAGATATCAGCCTACTTCTTATGAGCAAAATTATATTTTTTTCAAAAAATTTTCAACGCTTTTATCAACTCAACGAGACGAATTTGGAAATAGGTAAGTTGGCCTAAATCAACTTGTTTTCATCCCAGAAGTCCACAGCCGAGCCATGTCCCAACCTAGTACAGACACCCTGTATAGGTGCCCATCAAATGCAATTCTCAAAATTATTCATTTCATAGTCATCCTAGAAAACAAAATACCTATGAGGAAATTATTAGTTATTTTTGCGAAAAAGTAATTTTTTTTCGCCCCTGTCTTCCTTCAAAAAATAATTATCACTGATATGCACTGAAACAATCATTGAATACAGCCAAAATAACAAAATTCTAATTAGGTATGATATGGAAATATTGAACTATAGAAGTTGTACAGTTCATATAATCAACTGTTCAGTGGTGGCTCGTGACTTTCATGACAGAGGAGGCTGAATGATATGGGATTTATTGTGAAAAACAACTCTCTACTCACCCAAATCGATAGCTTTAATGACATTCTGTATACCAGTTAACCTGAACTTAATACTTGAAGAGATGTGTTCCTGTGATTTGCAGGGTCTACCCAATACGCGAGGCAAATTTTTCGAATCATTATTATCCTAATCGCCCCCAACATGATGACTTATCGGTTGAAAATTATAGGCAGTACCAACAAAATAGCTTATTCCTTACCTCAGATCCCGTCAACCAGATATATATTTTATAATTATCAGAATTGAACGAACGATTCTGTTTGTTACCTGTTACAATCAGATTTTTCAATTCCGGTGTCGGACGTTTGTTTTTCACAATCAATTTATCTTCATAAGACAACCCAGCAAACATCTTGATATGGGGAATCAATGGCCTAGTATATTTTTCCCATACCTGACATCAGCGGCCCAGTGAATGGTCCCATATGCGGGACTCTATATATCAGTACACTGCGGCCGGCAGCTGGTCCCAGTGCTGGGTACCCAGCAATCATATTCAGTTCCCCGGCAAAAGGCCAGTACAACATAATCGACACATTGAGTTTCCCATAGCAAGCCCAGCATATACATAAATGATGGGACTGTAATGGCCAATTAACGACATTGGTTACATACTATCGAGGTAGGGGTTTTAGGGGTCCAATGGATCTGAAAGTTCTAGTACCTCTTTATTTCATAACATAACCCTCTGATCATGAATCAGACACATACCAGATTTCAAGAAAACAAATTTAATAAATGACGATGAAACTTCTCGGAGTGACTGCTTACTGGTTGGTGTGTGAAATCTACATCTTATTGGGAAGCATTCCTTCGAAGTTGATTCTTCGTTGTGAGGTACTTCTGAAATATAAAATGCATCATTTGTTTTATATTAGGTGCCTATGAGTTGCATGAGTTTATAACTTGATAATATAGACAAATGACGTGATAACATGGAGCTTTTCAATTCTCATTATGGTGTTGGCACAGGTAAGTCTGCAGCTGAAATCTTATTGTTATTCAGTTATTCAATTTAGAGATGGGTTCACATAACCTGAGATTGCTTTTGATAGCATAACAAACGAGTTAAAAATGATGGTTGCTTTTAGAGAAGTATAGTTAACTCCAATTATCATAATCATTAGGTATATGAGGTTACGAGATACCAAACACATGCATCAAATAATGACATTCAAAACACTATGTAGGTACATTGATACTTACTCAATATTATCATAATTGAAGAAACTGTCTTCTATTATTATCAATTGAGAATACTCCTGCCATCATAAATAACCACCACGGAAAGAGAGGACCACATTAATTCGACATAAACAAACTAGTACGTGATCACTACTCACGAGAGTCAGCCATCTTAGTCACATATGATATTGATCAGCTGATTGTTGATGTAGACGTTTCCAAAACATCCGCCAGGGGGACGGGTAGTGAATATGAAATTGGCCAGCAAAGGGCCAGATCTCGTTAGTATTCAATTAGTTCCAGACATCTAACCATCACAAGGCCATCATCGTATTTTTAACTGATGGTTACTTGGCATGGAAAAATCATCGGCCCATTACCTATACCCCGGCATCGTCACTTTCCCAGACTAACCTGCACTAGGCCGGACTTCTCCCGCTGGTTCAATGTTTGCTGGGAAGGCACTGAATGGGTTCACCAAAAAGTATTCCACTAAATCGCAATCGTTTAAACACTCATTTTTCAGAAATTTATAGAGCCCCTAACCATTAACCTAACATGAACATAAACAATGCACTCGCGTTTGTCCGCAATTCGCGAAGCGACACGACAAACACGTGTTATTCGGGCGTATTCGGACGTAGGTTGCGCGATGTGAAGGAGTCTAGCCTCCTATAGATGTTGCCAAGTTGAATACTTTACGCGTGATTTGCAGACTTCAACGTGTGATGCGTGGGCAAGCACTGTTGCCAATTCAAAAATATCAAACTAAAACAGGAAATAAAATCAAAATCCATGTATTTCGGTGTCCTTTCAATGGGAAAGTATAAATTATATATATTAGTTTAAGAAAAATCTCTGAGGAGGCTCAGCCTCCGTTGCCTCCTCTGAGGAGCCGCCACTGCAACTGTTCCTTTTTGATTTCAATAATCGTTGCCGAATCAAATGTTTACTGATAATGAAAGGTTGAGAAAGGTCAGATTCATAGGAACCATTCGTCTATTACCTCCAGCCTATCGTTCGATAATTTTGCTATCGTTGACTGTTATCAGTCGCATGTTGAATCGTTCCGCTTAAGGAAACAATGGAAAAACTTAAACATCGGACTTGTGATATCTGTGTCAAATGAGGTATAACATTGATACGTTTCTTGAGTTTATTTATTGATAAACGGTCCATCAATATGTCATCTATTCCTATCTTGTGGATCTTAATTATTGTGATTGCCATATTTGTATTGGTGAGACTATATTTTACATTAACTAGTGCGCGATGCAAAAGTAAAGTCACCCTAGTGGGAAAAACTGCACTTGTCACAGGAGGAAGTTCTGGTATTTATATTTCATCAAATAATACTCCCACAATATCGTTGATATCTCTCCTTCTACTACGATACCTAAGTTAGGTAGGGTTAGGTTCAAAGTTACCCGTTAAGGTTTATATAGGGTGTCCGCTAAAAGGAGGTCAATCCATCAACCATATATTCCTTGAACAAAAACAATATGAGTTTCTCAATACCATTTTCCATTTTAGCCCTTCATATTCGATATACAGGGTGTCAAAGTTGGAAATTAAAAACTGTTTTTTTTAATAACTCGCGTATTTAATAATATATCGATCTCAAAATTGGTACATCACTTCAGCACCAGGAGTTACATCGCGTGAGGAAATCAAAACAGGAAATAACTGTCAAATATTCAAGATACTGGGGGTCACGTACACACTCACCTAAAAATTGTTTTTGTACGTGCGCTAATGACTTCCTATCTATTTTTCTTCAAGTGTGCAATCATTCTTGAGTACTTTTTTTCTCCTATATGGTTTGATGTCCATGCGCTTTACGGGAATTCTATAATGTTCACATACTCTTATTTACTTCGTCGAAATTTTTTCAAAACTGGTTCGAGTGGTTTTGGGGGTGCGGAATTCTTTGAAAATATTTACGAGCTTTCCCTCCTCCCGTATGGTATGTCGGGCACGAACGAACGAAAAAAAAAACAGAAAAAATTTCGCTCTGAGCACTCGGTATTTCCATATTCACCTTTTCGTACGTAAAAAATTACGTCCTCTTTCAATTTCGACGAAGTAAATAGGAGTATCTGAACATTATGAGATTACCGTAAGCCGCATATGCATCAAACAGTAACCAGTACTTTTCGAATTATCTTAAAAACAAATAACTTTATCGAAATTTCACAGGAGACAAAAAATACTCAAAAATGATCGAACACTTGAAAAAACAATAGATAGGAAGTCATTATCGCACGTACAAAAAAATATGGGGGGTAAGTTTGTACTTGACCCCCAGTATTTTGAATATTTGACAGTTATCTTAGTTATCTTCTGTTTTGTTTTCCTCACACGATGTAACTCTTCGTGCTGAAGTAATCCATCAATTTTGAGATTATTGATTATTATTGATTATTGAATATGCGAGTAATTGAAAAAAAAACCTGTTTTTGATTTCAGTTTATGAAAAATAAACGAAAACACAAACACAAAAGAATTGTGCAGCTAGAAACGCAAATATTTGAATTTCAATCACAATCAATCACATACGCAGTAAAACCAATTTAGCAATTCGTAGCCATATTGGTTTAACGAGTTTCGTTTTATTTTTCCAGAAGTTGGTCCCGCTTTGAGAACAGCTATGCTTCATATATATGAAATATCATGCTAGTGGACACCTTGGTAGTGAAGAAAATTATTACTTAGGGACCTTTTACCACAGTTAAAAGAATACAAATATTTGTATTCTTTCAACTGTGCTTTTACCCATCGGCTGAAGCCACGAGATATAATCCCTGATAATAATGATATTCTTCACTACCTTGGTGTATACAGGGTGTTCCGGTGATCATGTTACAAACTTCTAGGGTAGATAAAACACAAGAAAATGAGAAAAAAAATTCATGTGAACATGGGTCCGGAAATGCTTCTTCAGGGAGCTAGGGCCCTTCGAAGATGACCTTCAAAAACTACTTTTCGTTTTATAGCTTCGGTACTACTGCAGCTATCGCAACCAATTTTGGGACATGAAATCTAGTTCGAAGGTTCATCAATTTGAGCCTTTCGGATTTTGTCACCTTCAACCAGGGGCGTACAAACCAGGGGGGTATTTGTGTAAATTTGACCCTACTCCTCTTAGGCTTCAATTTCTTACCATTTTCAAATCTGATTATGATTCTCCAATGCCTTTTACATAAAAAAGGTACTCTTGTAAGAATCGCTATCTGTCACCTTGTGTAGGTTTAATTGTTTTTTTTTTTTGAAATATTTTGTATACGTTCCCTTTTACTTTTTATACCCCCAATTCCGAAAAGGCAATAAATTTCTCTAATCTAATTTATTTTCATTAAAGAAGAAGATTCGACTGACTAATAATGCTCACTATCTGTACTGAATCTCATTTTCATATTTCAACGTAATAATTGGTTCAAGACCAATAATTATTTATTGATTGGATTTAGCCATTTTCGGAGGAAACGGTGAGAGATAGCGATTTTTACAATGATACCTTTTTTATGTAAAAGGCATTGGAGAATCATAATCAGATATAAAAATGGTAAGAAATTGAAGCCTAAGAGGAGTAGGGTCAAATTTACCCAAATACCCCCCTGGTTTGTACGCCCCTGGTTAAAGGTGACAAAATCCGAAAGGCTCAAATTGATGAACCTACGAACTAGAATTCATGTCCCAAAATTGGTTGCGATAGCTGCAGTAGTACCGAAGCTATAAAACGAAAAGTAGTTTTTGAAGGTCATCTTCGAAAAGCCCTAGCTCTCTGAAGATGCGTTTCCGGACCCAACTTTTTTTCTTATTTTCGTGTGTTTTATCTACCCTAGAAGTTTGTAACATGATCACCGGAACACCTTGTACAAATAACTATTCACGGTGCTGGTAGAAGATCAACATTATAATTTCAGGATTAGGCTATCAACTTGGCTTAGAACTAGCATCACGAGGATGTAGAGTCATACTGGCTCAAAGGAGTACCCATGAGAAGCTCAGAGAAACACTGATCGAGGAAACCAACAACCCGAATACTTTCTTGGAACATGTCGATATGTCTTCATTCGACAGTGTGAGAGACCTCGCTGAGAGATTGAAGTCGACTGTGACCAAGTTGGATATTTTGATAAACAATGCAGGAGTAGGGAATGGTCCAGATATTCTCACGAAAGACGGTCTCAGTCACACATGGCAAACAAACTATTACAGCCCATTTCTGCTCACTCATCTGCTTGTAGGTAAGAAGAAATAGTAGATCGTTGTAGGTACCATTATCTTTTTCAGCAACCATCTGGGAAGTACCTACCAGATGCTTTTTGTTTGAGAAAGTGGCATTTCACTTCCCGGACTAGGCGGTTACCACCGATACAACAAGGCCTGCATGCTCCGTGGGTGACGTCACTTAGTGAGGCCTAACCAGCGGCTCGAAACGACAAGCGCTTATAGCGCTATAAGGCGACCGCGTATTTCGATTTCAGTTTTAGATCATCATTGAGCCGATTTTGCTGTTTTTTGAAGGGCTTCCGGTTGAAAAAGGATGCCAGTCGTCAACTGAGCCCTTCTTCGCACTTCATTCGATTTTATTATGGAAAAACGATGTTTTTAAGCAAAAACCAGGATAAAACACAAATATCCACCTACAGCAACCCATTCGAATTAAATATATTGGCAAAAATTGTGGTGAAGGTAAACTTCACACCTACTTATTCAGGGCCCGCAGAACATAAACTTATCGTGAGATTGATCGAAAGAAAATTGTGGAATATGTATTTTATTTTGATTGACATGCCGTTTGTTACCATTACCTATATTTATCTTGGAGAATTCCTATTACCTGAAAAAACAACCAGTGAGTGTTTTAAATTTCCTGTTGTTGGATTTTTCACCCAAGTGGATCGTTACACTTGAAACCGTAATTTTCAAGGGTGAAACTGCATTTATCATGCGATGGTTTTCTTTCGAAAATTTTTTTCGGACTCACGTATTTTCGTCTGATAATCCGAATTTTATAATGAAAATGAACAAACCACTATTTATTGAGATATTTCAAGAAAAAAATTCGCCTTCTTTCTCCCCTTGTGTTGGGGGCATTTGAAGCTATTTGCTCTTATTTTGTCATTGGACACTTTATATACTCGTGATGTACTTCGATGGCACATTCTTATATAGAAAATTCAACAGGGAATATGATTTTTATGGCGAGTTTTTCATATTCAGTGAACAAGCATTCCAGATGATGACCATTTAATCAATAGTCAATCAAAATACGAGATGTCAAATGTCAATAGATTGCTTTTCAATGACATTACACACGCCATTATTTTGAATGATATTCTTCCTTCTTTTCACTAAATATGGATTAATCTCAAGAAAATCATATTTATAGTTGAATTATATATAAATTGTCCAATATGATGAAAAAAGAAGGGAAATTTGTTCTAAATGCCATACAGAAGACAGGTGAGAAAGAAGGTAAAATTTGGAACTTTTTACTCAGAATATTTTGATGATGATCATCATATAAATGCAGTTTTACCTTTTTTAGTAGAGTGTTTGTAGTTTATGTTAATATGATAGGTGCAATTTGATCATTGGAATGGATTCTGCATTCATTGACACGAGGCAAATGACCGTTTTCAGAAAGGATTTGAGAATGAGAATTAAAAATGCCCGTTCATTATGAACATTCAAGAAAATTTCCTCGAATTCAGAGATGATTTTGTTGACTATAATATACGAATACAAAACTAACTGCACAATCAAAGCTTTTCTATGTTTCCTCTACTTATACTTTTTATGAGAGAGTAATTGTCTCTCTATTATTAATTCATCATTATAAATTAAGCTCTGTTTACTACTGAACTTAGATGGTGTAAAATCCTCGCGGTGAATTGCATATACCCACATTTTCGATAGCTCCTTGTCCAACGGGAAACTAAGTGCATGAACTTTTGAACCACCCACATAATTCTCCCGACAAAAGGGAACACAAAACTTGAAAGGCATTGTTATTTCGCCGATCACAACACAAAATATTTCACAAAACAGTAATTTTTCCGCCAATTATTTTGATGAATAAACAACAGAAGAATTCGGGACCGTTCCAAAAACAAACGTGAATCACCTATGAATTAACACGAACTGACGCGTTAGTCGACAAGCGATTAAATGAAACACTGGCCTATCTTGGTGACGTCACGAGCTATTTACGTCAGAGTCTGCTGGCCTTGTTGTATCGGTGGTAACGACTAGGCCGGGAAGAATCACACCGTTGTTATCATTTTGAATATAAAAATCTTGGTTGGTATGGTTTTGATAAATGCAGCTGTTCATAACCATAGCAGCGGAAGAACAATTGACAGCTTCTTGACATGAAATTATTTGACATTTTGATTTTGAACGTTTGCATGGTTCCTGGTCGCAATTATCACGATGAACTATGGAAACGAGCAGCGATAGCTAGTTTGAGAAAGTGCCTTGTAGGTTAGCCAGTAATGACTGATTTTCTGCAACGTTTTTTCAATGTATGAAACTATCAAGTCATGATTTCAATGGGTTCCAACATATCCTAGACAATTCGAATCAAATCGAATCAGAATTAATTTCTACTCCTCATAACATGTCATTTATTTTAACATAATTGCATAACTCAGTTTGTTGTATAATTACATTTTTCAAGTGATGATTCTACCTGGAGGATAGACCCTAGGTACGAGTAGGTATTTCTACTTTGAATTTAGGTTTCTTCTTAATTACCACCCCACATGAATAAAAGAATTGGTCAAAACTGCTATACGTATTTGTCCCCAAAGATTTTCAATATGATACCTGATACCGCAGCTAAACTTCTCTCTTTGAATTCATTCAAACAATGGGCAAAAGAATACATTGGAACTGTCCCTAGAACTAAAATCCATCAATTAATAGAGAAATGATTAACAAACCTACAACCAAGTGAACTATATGAAATTTTCTCAATTATACACACAAATACACAATAATTCTATATAGATCCAAAGAAGGATCTTGCTTTGCACTCCCAGATCGAATACCCACTGGTTAAATGCTATCTACAATAATCTGAATTATATTCACCATGTATATTAACTTAATTTACTATTTACACCCTTGTTCGATATATATACATTTTTATTTATATTTATACCTACCTTGTAATATACCTATACTTGTTACATTTCCTCACACACAAGTTGGCCTTAGAACCTATGTTCTGAGGATCAGCTTCGTGAGTATTGCGTTTATTTATCGGATGTACCTACATACCTTATAAGGTTAAAGTTGATGTTATTGCTTGATTTATGTCAAATTGTATCTATTCGATGAATAAACTATTATTATTATTATTTATTAATTTGTTGTATGCTAACGGGCAGTGAGTTGAATAGCTTGGGTTCATAATAAAAGAAGGTTTTTGTGTGAGAGTTTTTCTAAATACGTTTATTTGTATATTCTGCCCTGTAGGTGATCTTGTGGTGGAGGTTATTTTCAGATATTTATCATGCTCAGAAAAAATTTTTTGAAGACACGTATGTTTTCAAACAAGTTGGTTTCCTCGTAGTTTTGTATTGCGGTAGTTAACGATCAAATGGTTATACAGTAGCTTGCTATAGATTCCATGTATTCTACCAAAGACCTATATATATCATCAATAGAATTTTTCTAGATAAAACATCTCTGATGTTGTAAAATGTATGCAATATGTATCGTACCCTTTCAGTAAGAAAAACTATTCGATTCGACCATCTTATATGTTGATCAATCATGGTACCTAAATATTTGATAACTTTCAAACGCTCCATTGATGGACTATCACATTCAGGGATATCACATTTGGGGTTATGGAGCTTAATGTTGAAGGTCGGCTGAACGGTTCTTGTGGGGAAAAATGTGATATATATTATTTCATCAATATTCAGGCTCAATAGATTGTGATTCAGCCATAGTTTGAATTTTTTTAGGTCTGTTCCTGTTTTCCTGTGGACATCTCTCCAGTTTTCACCCGTAAAGACAATTGCGGTATCGTCAGCGTAACTAGTTAATTTTCCCACGAAGTTTTTTATTTTGGCAATGCTATTAATTTATATTGAAAATAGAATGGACCCTATACTATTGTTCCTTGAAGGATTCATATCTGTACTGTTCGTTCTGAACTGTGCTTACTTCCTACTCTCGTTCTTCGCATTCTGTTTTTCAAACAAATAATCAACTTCGAATTGCAGATTTGACCTTGTTGGAATTTGGAAAAAATTGGTGTAGGAAGTCCCAAAATTATTAACTGAACCTGTGAGAAAGAGGGGGCTATTGTGGAACTATCATTTAACGTATGCTTCTCCACAAGCATTATTTTCGGTGTTACTTGGATCACGACAAACTAATTGCATACAATCTGCCCTTTTTGTAATCACAAGAGAAGTGCATGTTTAAAAAAATACTTAGAACATGTTGAAAACTAATAAGAATCATTATTCGAAAGTTACATATACCTATTGAAAAAACGTTGTAGAAAATCTGTTTTTACTGGCCAGCCTTCTTCGAAATTTCCAATGCCGAAGCTGCTGTTGCAAAAATCTTGGTACGAAATATTTATGATTTTTTCACGAAAAGGATGGATATAGTGAATGGATGGTGTAATTTTGGCTTATTTGGCGCGAATATCTAAAACTTTCAAAGCCTCTACCATGTGGAGCATGTACTCGATGTTGAATAGTACCATTTTATTGTTCTGTTCTCCGTTATTTCTAGTTCATAACCATGATAATATATCATGAACAGGTTTCAATTTCCTTACTTCTACCATCCTGCATATTTTCTGATCTGCGCAGTGATTATAATTTTCAGGAAAAATATAGGTCGATTCAGATATCGAGGTGAAACTGAAATACCATTATCAATTGAATGATATGTTTATATTCTTGGAAACTTTATCTACATATATTGAGGAATTTCACTTCTAGATCTGCTGAAGAATTCAGAGGCAGGACGCATTATCTTCACCAGTTCTATTACTGCCTACTTCCACAGTATCCATGTGGAAGATAAAGATGATGACAGGATCAAAGCTAGTTTCAAATTTCTGGATTATGCCAATACCAAATTCCTGGCGATATTTGCAGCAGATTATTTCGCGAAAAAACTGAAGGAATCCAATATCACATGTAATTCATACCATCCTGGGATAGTGGAAACCCCAATCTTCCAGAGAACAGCAAATTATTACAGAGGTGTGATGGACTTTATCGTACTATGGGCGGTATTATTCCTGAAGATGTTTTCGGAAAAGGTAATCACTAGTGTTAACATTTTTTTAGCAGTTACCAATTCGGTTTTCGAAAGGAGCGCTCCCCCCAATTTTTATATAATATCCTTATGTCAAATTTTGAACTGAATACTTAACACTCTAATTTGACTCGAAAAGAGCGTTTGATGTGATAAACATTGATTTGATGCTAGATAACTGTTACAGATGCGGCATGCGTGGTTTGGCTTTCGCGTGGATCAAATCTCACCTTACTAATAGGAAACAAAAAACCAACTTGAAAACTAATGACATTTCGGTCCATTCATGTTTTATTTCAGTAACCAGTGGTGTCCCTCAGGAAAGCATACAAGGACCTCTCTTATTTATAATTTTTTTATAGCCTCATGCAAGAATTTCCTCATCACTATGTAACAGCATTCGCTGACGATGCTGTTGTTACGACTTCAAATGGCTGCCTGGAAATGCTATCTAAAATTTCATCTAGTGCTGTTAACCAAATGATAAACTTCTGCAAAGCTAAGGGACTTGTCTTAAATGAAGTAAAAACAAATGAAGTTAAAACCGAAATGATACTTTTTAGCCTCACTGATTTGAATGAAAGTCTGTTGGTTAAACTCGACGACAGAACTATTGAACAAATGAGGGTCCCTAAATATCTTGGTATTTTTATAGATGAGCATCTGACCTGGTCGTGTCAAGTTGATGCAGTATTTAAAAAAATGTCAATCCACTCATATGTTCTGTGGCAACTTAGGGATAAAGTGGACGCTAATCTCTTATTACTTTATTATTTTGAATATGTTCAATCTTGCCTCTCTTATGCCATCATGTGCTGGGGCAACTGTGCCAGGGCAGATGAGGTCTTCAGAGCTCAAAAGAAAATAATTAGAACTATATCATTCAAACCGTATACCTTTTCTTGTAAAGAATTATTTCCCAAATTGAATCTACTAACATTTTCCTCCCTGTTCATTCTTGCATCAATAATGCAGGTCAAAATTAACCTATCTGATTATCCTGTTTCCAGAAACAATCAACAATTGCCTCAAAGAAAACCTGGATTTGGCCATACCCAAGCACAGACTGACTATAAAGTAGCAAACAGTCCTATTGTGCTACCTATTAAATTATATAATAATTTGCCAATTGAGTTGAAGAAAATATCAAATATTCTTAAATTCAAAAATACCTTCAAAGATATTTTAATCAAAAATTCATTTTATTCTACTAATGATTCTTCCAATTGCAACGTCTCTAACCTCGCATCTAATAGGTCGCGTGCACGATGACCGACCCTGGAGGCAAAATATTGAAACACAACCTCATGCTTCTGTGAATTATTGAAACACAACCTCACTTTTTCACTTGGTTACAGAGGAATCAAAGGATTGAACTAGTTTTTCACAATATTTTGGCATACGAATCGTGTTTTTTGCGCTATTCATTAATTCGAGCATGCCTTCGCATTGTGCTGTTGTACAATGCACAAAAAATGCAGCAAGAGACTAAAGAATATGATTTTTCAGGTAAATAGTAATCTCACATAGTTATCATTATGAAATGTTGTCATTCCTCATTAAAATTCCTTCTGCCTTCTGTCACTTCTGCAATACAAGCTAATATACTGCTAATAGATTGAAAATGTCTACAACACACACGATCGTCAGCATGTCAGACCAGTCCTCCCGATTGATTGCATGAATCCAATTTTCTGGCATTATTTTAGAAATTTCAGATGTATTTCTATTAGCTTCTATCACAGAAAGAATTCCGATGAGAAATCAGAGAAATTACCAAATTTCAAAAATGAAAACTATATGTGAGTGACTATAGTAGGTACTTACTTTTAAATCATATTGTACCAACCGGATTACTTCGTCTTCCGCTGCAGTTTTTGTGCATTTCACAACAGCATAATGTGATGGCATGAGCGAATTGATGAATAGCGGAAAAATACGATTCGTATGCCGAAATAATTGTGAAAAACTATTTCGATCACTTGTAAACAAATAAGTAAAGTGACGTTTGTGTTTCAATATTTTGCCTCCAGTGTCGGTCATCTGACAGTTCTTGCAGGCAACCCATATACTTTGTAATGATGTCTTCACTACTTTTTGTTTGTATGTTCCGTCATTTGTTTTTAGCAAATCATTTATATATCTACTGTGTGTCTACGTTTTGAAGTTGATTAATTTTTAATTCAATTAGGGTACTTATTTTTGGCATTATCCAATACTGTAAAGTCTATGGAAATAAATGTATTGTAAGCCTCCTCAATTGCGCGAGGACAACCACGAACGGTACTCGAATATAGAGGCGGATTGCCAAACATCAGAAGTGTTCCAACTTGCTGAGTTCAGACAAAGTGATTTATGAGAACTAATCTATCGCAGTTTTCCAGATATATCATTTTTTTCTGAAAATAATCACCGCGGTAGTTGCTTACGAAGACATTTTTATCTCGCAAGACGTTTAAATTTACAGCATCAAATTCGTGGAACAGTTAACTGGAAATCCAGGCTAACTTCTGATGTCCCATCGGAGGTCCCATTTTGTACATCATGGGCACGAGCGATTTTCAAAATGTTCGCCCTGTAATGTTTTGATTCTTGTCAAAAGTGACTTCATTTGACTCGCAAATTTTGCTTCCGCTCGGGTTCGCTAGACGCTTCGCCTCGTGAATGATGAATTCGCTTGTCAAACAAAGTGCCACTTTCGATCCAGTTAAAGCAATCTACTATTTCACTAGGTATTGAACGTCACTTGTCAATGTCTGTATGTGAATATTCTGTATTTCACGATTCAAAATATCTTTTTACTAAACGATCTTTCTTCCTTTTGCTTAGGCAACCATTTTAACAGCATTAAACATGGTGAGTTGCATATGCATCAGACCCCTAATTCCAATGTCCGTACCCAGGTTTTTTGCGGCATGATTTGAATATATAAGTATAAAAACTAGCCTTTGCTAGATTTCAGGAAACTCTTTCGACATTTCAGATAAAGGTGAAAATATCTGCTTTTTGAGACTCGTCACATGTACCGCACCGCAAAATAATATTTTTGCAATAATTGATGGCCTTTGAATCTTTTGGGTCTGTGCTGTGCAACACCAAAATTCATTGTGTTGTCGCCTGGTCTAATTTCGGGTAGGTGAAATATTGCATATGTTGGTTATAGTATAGTACATAAAAGGAATATCCATTCGCCATGTGGAAGAATCATTGCAAGTGACTGATGTACATTTTTAGGGTGGCGAAAATTTATGATCGAAAGACAAATGATGGAAAAACATTTGATAGAAGTCTTTTGATCGAAAGTTTTTTTGATAGAAATGCATTTGAACGATTGTTTTATGATAGAAAATACATTTTATAGAAACATAAATGATAGAACAATTGATAGGGAGAATATTTGATAGAAGATACACTTGATAGAAACAGCATTTGATAGCAAATTCAACGGTGCTACACTCAAGTTAGGTCAGTACGTTTTGTGAACATATGATCCTTCTTCATATATTCGAGAAGAAGGAGCTAGATGGAAATCGAAGCTTATGAATTTATTGATACCGCAAACTTCTAGCTCCTTCTTCTCAAATATATGGGGAAGGATCATATATCTTCACAAACGAACTGACCTAACTTGAGCGTAGCCCCGTTGAATTTTTTATCAAATGTTGTTCCTATCAAGTGTATTTTCTATCAATTTTTTTTCTTATCAATTGTATTTACTATCATTAATGTTTCTATCAAATGTTTTTTCTATCATAAAACATTCGACTAAATGTATTTTCGGTGAAAAGTTCTTTCTATTTTTCGATTTTCGATCAAAATACTTCTATCAAATGTTTTTCTATCATTTGTCTTTCGATCAAATTTCCGCCACCCACAGTTTTGATGCCTGCTTCAAATTTTTATTCAATGCCTTTATGAGTGTGAAACATTTACCAAGCTGCTGATATACAAGTCAAATATCAGGTATATTGCGAAAATAGATAGCTTCAGTCTGCATGACTTCAAATCTCTGGGTTTTCATTTCTTGACACTAAATCCGAGACAGTCAGAACCCCAAACTGCGCCCTGGGATAAATATTTGTTACAACTTCAAGAAAGGGGTATTTGTTGACGAAACTGAAGATACTGAGTGTACTAGAAAGGTCTGTGAGAACCTTAGCATATAGCCCTGAGTTCAAAATATGCCGATTTAAATAAACTTACCCCTGTCTGAAATGGCTCCGTTTCCGAGATACAGAGTGGTAATTTTAAAAAATAATAAATCAGCAAGCACACTCCATGAAGTATTTTGAAAGATTAATTGTTTGTCGTAGTTTGGTCAGTGAATGAGCAGCATTCACTGACCAAATTACAACCATGAAGATAACAGCAACAATTTTTTATTCAGAATACTTCAAATATTCTGGTGCGGCATCGGACATCAAATTTTCACAGTTGCACCTTTCTTACTTGGAAATATTCAGGAAATCATTTCCCTAACGAAAATAGGGGAAAGCTACAGTGATAAAAACAGTTATGGTCATTCCAAACCATAAGAAGTGCATTTGTAGGCGCCCTCTGATGGCCACAGTGAAAGGATGTATTTATTCACGTTTTGCATCCCAAAGAGCCCTTGGCAACAATTTTTGAAGTGATACTTTCGAAAATGTTGATAAAGTTTGAGAAAGTCGATTTCCATTTTTCAACTTCACCAAACTGTATCTCGGAAATGGAGCAATTTTGGACTGAGGTGAGTTACTTCGGCTTATTTTATTTGACCTCAGGAATATGTGGTGAGAGTATAATCAAAGTGAAAAGTGGATACCAGAGTATTTTGTTATTCAAAGAAGACTCGAAAAGATTAACTACGAAATAATATGCTTCTGGGTTATCCATTGCACACTTAACGAATGTGAATAAATGAGTTTGCAGTATTCTCCTTCGTCATATCGAATGTATGTTCATATTCTCAATCCAATATCAAATGAATCTGTTTCGTTAGATTCGTCGGATCCTTCCTTCGAAAAGTGCTTGTCCGAAAATGGTTGCCATTAGAATGAAAACAGTAAGGCACAAAAATGTAATTTTTTCAACTTGTCTTCCTCCAATTCATCATATATATTATTGAATAGAATGGTGATCGTTGAATGAGATTTCTGGTGCTGAGTTAGCGGGAATTCGGTCGAAATCTTGAAGAAAACCAATTGTTGAATTGTAGACGTTCCGAAACTTTACTGTTTCAACTTCAGGACAATTCAGGGTGCCTTTCCGGGTTTAGAAATGGTTGAATAAATTAAATCGACAAGAAGTACTCAGTTTGTTAATTTTTTCGTGCTCGTGCCTGTTTTAAGGTTTTTCATGAACATGATGTGTATACGTATTTACACATTTCGACCAAATTTCCGTTAACTCAAGACCAGATATCATGATATATGAGTTACTGAAACTTTGCGATTATAATTTCATGACATCATACCTGAGGTCCGTAGAGAAGTTTAAGTCCGATTTTGGTCACTTAGATGCAATATCAAAAGTTACTCTAAAAAAAACGAAATTGGCGTAAATACTTCTGAAAATGTCATATTCTGATCCAGAATCATCCAAAAGGAATTACAAAACTGTTTCAATTTAAAATGTGTTCTATATAAAAATTCAAAACCGGAGCCATATCCGGTGCAACCGGAAGTGACCAGGAAGTTCAAAATATTCCTCTTCACAAACCATATACCCATATCAAATTCCGTTTCGATACTTACAACGAATATTCTAGAAGTTATGGCTTGTCTAATACATTCTTTGACACCCGATGTCAAAACCAGACGTCCTCGTCGTTGGATATTATGTTCTCTACGTCACATAAAATCCAAACCTGCAGTTTGAGTTTTCCTCTCTAAAAATTCTATTGTTGTAGTCATGGCGTCTATCTAGTGAGGAAAGAACGTCTGACAGAAAATACTTGCTCTTCTTAATTTCTTCTGTTTTTAATATTATGTTCATGACGTGGTCAATTAGTAGTGATTAGGATTTAATTTGATTTCTGGAGTGAAATTTTCGTCGTGTTTATTTAAATGGACATTGGGTATTTTTGGCGATTTTTGAAACATAATCCAACAAGAAACTTCTAACAAATATCGTATTTTCTGTGACGGAAAAAAAGTTTGCATTTCATCTCTGTTGGCAGGTTATAAAATGTCACTTTTCATAAATTACTTTTATCTCGTGGGAAAAAAGTTGGTACTTTTTTCCCGGATATATATCACATATATATAAACACTGTTGATGGCTTTTGTTGTGCTATAGTTCCGAAAAATGAGTCAATAATATCGTCTCCGAGAAAGAACTGCAAGTCCTTTTATCTTCCATTCGACTTCGAGGTTATGTATATAACTAAACAACCACTATAAAGTCGCAACTTCTTGAAATCAAATCACAGACTTAGACTGACAAAAGTGACATCAGATATTTGATTACTTCAGAAGAATGATAAAGATGCCTACAACGCAGATGACTCTACTGGTTAAAACTCAAAATTTCACGTCGATAATTTTCAGGTTTCAAAATAATGTAATATTTTCTCAATATTGCTTCGTCGTCTCTTCTGTCACAGAAAAAAATAGTGTATTATACACGGGAAAAATATTAGATTTCAGCTCACCACCTGGAGCTAAAATCTACTACTTTTTTCCCTTGTATAATGAATATGTAGTTCTATCAAATCAGATTGAGAAGTGGTAGGAAATTAATGTACCTATTCAAACTCTTTCATTTCTATAAATGGATACAAAGATAACAAGATGAATATGAGCATAACAAATACTTTCCGTCTCTTTTATGAGTAATTTGGATGCAAGTTCAAACTAGATGATATATTGATATGAATATGGTATGCAAAAATCACGATTTCCTTGAATTTTTTTTCAGAATGTAGAGGAAGGCGTCCAAACAGCTCTTCATCTGGCCATTTCCAAAAAAGTCTCCAATGTGTCTGGAAAATTCTTCATGGAAGCAACCCCCTGTTTCAAGCCTCGTGGTGCAAACAATAAAAAATTTCGGGAGAAGGTGTGGAAAACAACAGAGAAGGTTGTTGGCCTGAAACCTGATGAAAAGTTAGCATTATAATCGTAACACAACCTGAAGATTGAAAAGAAGTTCAAAATAAAACTGAGTCGATGTATAATAATTACGTTGAAATTGTGATATCCGGTACCATAAAATGATCATTAAAGCTATGTAGCTGAAGAAATTTTGGAATTTTCAATTTTCAACAAGATAACAGGAGCGACAAATACAGTGTTCACCAGGTGCAAAGGACCCCATGCATATGAAAATTTTTTGTACATTCTAGATCAAGTGCTTTCAAATCAAAAATTGAACTGTTTAGAATCACAACTTCATCAAACGGTTGCGCTGCTTTGTGCCCACATTTCAATACTCCCACATCGCGTTGTTCCCACATCTCGATAGGCCTACATTTCGTTAGCCCCACATTTCGATGTTCACACAGTATCCGAACACACCCGAATGACGCAATGTTGCAAAATATACGACACAGTCATAGTGGGTCTATTGACACATCTACATTTCGTTACACCCACATTGCCTTCTGCCCACATTTCTTCACGCCTACATTGCGTTACATCTACATTGCGTGACACCCACATTTCTATAGGCCCACATTTTGTTAGACCCACATTTCTATACTTTCATAGTCTCCGAACATACCCTATGGATGCACCGTTGCCGAACATAGGTGTGACAAAATATGTCGTTAGGCCGACAATGCCTAGAAGAATCGTGTAGCTATAGCATTTCCATCTATGGCTATCTGAATTCTATATACGTGATATGAGGAAGGAAAATATCCTCTCTGAATGAGAAAGGAGACTACTTCTTCTGAACAATCTAAACTAACACGGCCTGAATGAACCTCCTTCCTAGAAAGTATACTCTTCTGAAGATTACTGGAGAGAGCAAAATAGACCATACTTCTTCGAAACCATCTAACATAACTCAGCCCAAATAAACCTTATTCTTTCTGCAAAGTATATTTCTCAGTGAATTTTGCATGAAGCGTAGTATCTGGCAACAGGGCATCCTTCGTGTATGTTCGGAGCACAGTATACAGGGTGTTCCATTATATATGCGCAGGACTTCAGGATTCGATAGCTTGTCAAAAAATATGAAAAAAGTCCCTATCAACTTACCCTCTAAAATGCACCAATTTTGAGATACAGGGTGCTGAAATTTAAAAAAAATTAAGTTTTCTGCGAATATCTCTGGAATTGTTTATCGGACAGAGAACAGCTTCTGCAAGCATTTCCCACTCATAATAAACTATGTTTTGTGAAGAATCAATTTTTTTAAAACATAGTTGGTGAATATTTTGAAGGGTTAGTAGATGTTCTTCTATTCAACTACGTCATTAGAAAAAGTACAGTTTTGAGCCGCCCATTCGAACGGCCAATGTTTTCTACATAAAAAATATACTTATTGTGGTCGGTCATAAGCTTAAAAATTGACCGTTTTTTGAGAAAAATCAACTTTCATGTTGAAAATCATAGTAAATTTTTGGAAAAAAACTTTTGTTACCAATTAAACAAAATAATCTATTCGAACTTCAGAACAAGTAACATAACCAAAGTTCGCCTTCATATTACAGAATTGAACAAGGAAAACAATAGCAAATCATACTCAGTTGAATTGATAATTGTTAGAAATGCCCGCAATTTTGAAAGAATTTTTAATTTTTCCAACATTAAAGTTGATTTTTCTCGGAAACGGTCAATTTTAGAGACCTTGACCAAGAATAACTTTCTTTTTTTACTTTTCAAGAGGTATATATCGGTCAGACAGGTCGAACATTCAATCAGCGCATTCATGAATATTAGATGAATTTTTCAAACAAAGAGAACAAATCCAACATACGCGAACTATATATTAGGAAAAAAACATACCAGTTTTGATGATAATGTCGAAATTCTACACGTAGAGAATGAAGGGATAAAACTCAATCATTTTGAATCAATAGAAATCAACGAACGCAAAAATTCTGACATTTTACTTGATGATCAACTAGTCCTCAATGATTTTCCGCTGTTGAATTTGTTTTCCTAGTAGGAAATGATATGTATTTGGTATCAACCCATTCGAGTTGAGTTAAAGAGAAGAGTGGAATAGTTTACATAAAAAGGTTCAATATAATGAATAGTTGATTTCTTGTTACATAAACGTGGTTATATAGGTTATATGGCATTATTGAGAACAAACGGCGCCTCCACCACGTGTCGCAACTCAGATGTTGACCCTCCTATAGGTCGTAACTTAGCTACTCGCTTGGCTTTTTTGACGAAAGGTTTTGATCATTTCACCACACGTGTCGCAACTCAGATGGACCTTCACCTTGTGTCGCAACTCACACATCGCTTTGACTTCGATTGCATCAACTTAAGAGTACTCGCTTGGCTATTTCGCAAGAGGATTTTCAGTATTTCACCATCCAACCATATTCATCCCCAAATAAAGAGAATTATTTTTCGAAAGTACAACAATTTATTCAATCACGAAAACATAAAAATGTGCCAAAAAGGCGGAACAGCAAAGAACGAATATGAAACGAGCTAACAACAAAAACAAGATGATTGTTCTTGGTACTTACATTATGTTATTGGCAGCAGCACCAAAGTCGAGGAGATGTCACACCCCAAAGTGGCATAGTGCCATTTTGGAAGTCAGCAATCGATGAATGAGTGTTTTGAACTGATTTCAATATAATAATTGGTACACGGATAAAAATTGTCCAAGTAAAATGTTTTCCTGACTTGTTTTGTATCGGGATAAGAAAAATAATACCTATTCCAGAAACAATTTTATTCAGCCTCTAGTAAAATGATAATTCTGAACGCATGAACTTGTAGCTATAATTTCATCCACCTATAGCAAATAGTTTTCATATTAGATAATTCACTTTTTATAGCCACAGGAAAACATTTTATATGCTCTGGTAAAGTGTATTTTAGACTTTATTAACTTCGAGTTTCTGAAAAGGAAATAATAACTACAGAAACTCGTGTTACAAGCACAATACAATTGTTTATCTGCGGTACAACCCAATATACCTACGGTAATACAACATGTCCACCTGCCCAGTAATCGGGAATAATCGTCGCCCTCTCGTGTTGTATATCCGAATTGATCAGAATCCATCAGCGTCACTAGAGTTTCGTCGTGACTTCGTGAGAGTATGTTCAGTTTGAGGATTTGGTGCACGTGGTAAATCGAAAAATAATGTTTGGTGTTGTATTCATTATATTATGCTGAGGAAGTATGACTCATCACCACGAGAGGTATAGAAGGTGCCATTCAGAATCCCTTTTGGGGGCGGCCGAGAGTTATAGACAACCAATAGTGCTGTTTTACTTTTAATCGATCTGTTATTTACTTAAAAGTTTATCATTGTGTAGAAATGACGTTATTCATAGTGATGAGTTCTCAAATAAAACTGTTCATTTGTGAAATAACAATGTATTGTAAGAAAATAAGGCATGATACATTACAAATAAATCAAATGATCCTTGTTTGAATGATGCCAAGTGAATTAGGAGTGAAGACAGGAAGAAAATTCGACTGAGTCTGGTGTATCCCGATAACAAAGATGGGATGAAAGCTATCCAAGGTGAGACATGATGAACTACCCACAAGTGAGTCATAATAGATGAGGCCAAGTGAATCAAGATAATTGTATTTATTAAAATAAGCACCTAGCCAATAATGTCGTTGCATAACTCCAAGTGAAAAGTACACTACCCACAAGTGAGGTATTCTATGAGGCCAAGTGAAACAAGTCACCTATACTTATCGAACTGACCACCTATCCAATGATTTCGTTGTATAACTGCAAGTGAAATGTACACTTAGGCCAATAAAACAAATATTCTGTCCCCAATAAAGCGTTTAATATCAGTAGGTTACATGTAATCCTGAAATCACATTAATAACAACAAGTGATCAGATTCAGAAATATCATTTTTCTTGTGGCTGATGAGGCGAGTACTTCTCCCATATAGTATGCAAATTTTTACTTGGTAGTATGCAAATTTCACTAGCTGTTATTAATTTTTTTTTTCCGTGTAGTAATGAATCGAATAACGATTGAACTAATAATGACCATGCCTTATCGATTCGTCGGGTTCTATTTATATTTGGAATCGATGCTATCGCAATTTTCCACAATGGGAATGGCCATTACCTTTCGATATTGCTTGCCTAGGTATTATCGCACGGTAAGCGGTTTTTGCATATTCTAGAGAAACTGACGTCTATGAACTCCACTGACCTGATCGAAAGTACACTGTACTGGATGTTTTAATTTGGAAAATTCAATTTATGATGAAAGATCTTGAAATGAACGAGAGTTTGAGTGATGGTAATTCATAGGCATTTATACTTATTGACAATATATCTTCAATATTTTTCAAAATTGATATCGTTCATTTGGCAGGTATACTATAATTACTAGCAATAATTATTCTCATCGATTGGCTATATCATTCTCCTTCAAAACTTGTGGCAGTTTGGCCTGATTAAATATTTTCATCCATTTGAATCTACACTCCACTACTGTAATAGTTGTAAACATCACTTCCTTTGATTCAACATATGCAGGAAATCATAAACATAAAAAACATAATCCAATAATGATCCCATATCCTGTCTGCAGGAGGAGTAACAGCAACAAGTTGAGTTTCAAGTCAACCTCAGTACCTCACAACATAAGCGAATATGATGAATAATGAATTAGTACTGGAATCTTCGAATATTGGAACGAGAAGAGAGAATCCCAAAAATTTCGAGAAATAATTTGATGAGGTTTGAATATGTGAAAGACATGCTTTATCTTTTAGTTACATCAAGCTTACATAACAGGGGGATTGAAACCCTTGAAAGACCTATACAACCAACCTAACATCTTTGACATCGATTAGCCTAATCAAATTAGGAACGTGAAGATTAAACCATTCGAAGTATTTAAAAAAATCCTTTACCTCTAATTCAGTTAGTACGAACCGAAACGACAGCACAGTCATGGCATACTGGATAAAAAACCAGTGCGAAATTTATTATTACAAATCACCGGGTCTCAAGATATCGACAACTATAAAATCGCTGTTTAAATCGAACTTTGAAAATGATCCAGGGACAGCTAATCTCATGGATGGTTACCGCAATGACATATCAATAAGG